GTTGGGATACGAGTCTGGCCCAAACCCCATCTTTCCAATGACAGGTCTTTGGTTTCAAACATCACTGTCGTACATCGTCATGTGGCAATGTTACTTATGATAACACAAACTACGTAACGATAATTCTATTTGTAAACCAACAAGCTTTGTTGATTCAATAAACATCTAGATTCACATTTTCGTTTACTATTTTTGATTGATTGACAGGCATTATACATACATCAGTCGTCTATTTAAACTCGTGATTTTTGTTTGTCGCAGCACGTTTCGACCGAAAACAACAACATTTATATATCAAAAACCAATCAGATTAGTGCAATTGCTAGCGTACATGTTTATGCCGGAAGAAATGTATTTGGATCACAGCTTGACGTACAAACATCGTAAATGGCAAATTGCCCGGAGGTCCCACCACGATGTGAATGGATTGGTTTGAATTGGCATACTAATTGCGATGGCAATCTTGGCTCTATTTATAATATCGGTTCCCCTTTAAGATAAAAACAAGCTTGTGGTCACTTTTTATTTAAAACCCTAACATTTGTTCGTTCAGTCATATAAAAAAATATTGAACCTTCACTGTTATTGTCAAAATTTGACACTGGATACCTAAATAATAACAAAATGTTTACAGTAGTAGAATTTGTTAGACTCTTTCACTTCGCCACGAACATATTTCCTATTCATAATTAACTGTGGATGTTTTAAATTTATTTTCAACTGTAGATCCCCCCGATGATCCAGTCTGCACTTACCAATCCACTGGTGCACCATTACCATCTTACCTACTTGATGACGAAATGAAAATAAGATGTCAATCAACTGATGGCAATCCGTTAGCAACATTGAATTGGTATCGTGGTAACAGTAAGATAAACGGTTTATCATCATCTACAACTGATGACACAGTTACGAAGGATTACACATGGAATCTGAATAGAAATGATAATGATGCTGTGTATACATGTAAAGCTACTAATGATGCCCTAACTACTCCATTAACATGTCAACTTGAACCATTCAATGTCTACTGTAAGTATATCTATATATGGAATCTAAATAAAAATGATAATCAAGTAATGTATACATGTAAAGCTACTAATGTTGTACAAACTACACCATTAACATGTCAACTTGGACCATTCAATGTCTACTGTAAGTATATCTTATATATGGAATCTAAATAGAAATGATAATCAAATAACGTATACATGTAAAGCTACTAATGTTGTACAAACTACACCATTAACATGTCAACTTGGACCATTCAATGTCTACTGTAAGTATATCATATATATGGAATCTAAATAGAAATGATAATTAAGTAATGTATACATGTAAAGCTACTAATGTTGTACAAACTACTCCATTGACATGTCAACTTGAACCGTTCAATGTCTACTGTAAGTATATCTTATATATGGAATCTAAATAGAAATGATAATCAAATAACGTATACATGTAAAGCTACTAATGTTGTGCAAACTACACCATTAACATGTCAACTTGGACCATTTAGTGTGTAATGTAAGTATATTTTATATATAGTATCTAAATAGAAATGATAATTAGGTAATGTATACATGTAAAGCTACTAATGTTGTACAAACTACACCATTAACATGTCAACTTGGACAATTCAATGTCTACTGTAAGTATATCTTATATATAGAATCTAAATAGAAATGATAATCAAGTAATGTATACATGTAAAGCTACTAATGTACAAACTACACCATTAACATGTCAACTTTAACCATTCAATGTCTAATGTAAGTATATCTTATATATGGAATCTAAATAGAATTAATAAGTAATGTATACATGTGAAGCTACTAAAGTACAAACTACACCATTAGCATATCAACTTATACCATTTAATGTCTACTCTAATTATATTTTGTATATAGTATCTAAATAGAAATGATAATTAGGTAATGTATACATGTAAAACTACTAATGTTGTACAAACTACACCATTAACATGTTAACTTTAACCATTCAATGTATACTCAGTCTGTAAGTATATCTTATATATGGAATCTAAATAGAAATGATAATCAAGTAATGTATACATGTAAAGCTACTAATGTTGTACAAACTACACCATTAACATGTCAACTTGGACCATTCAATGTCTACTGTAAGTATATCTTATATATATAATCTAAATAGAAATGATAATCAAGTAATGTATACATGTAAAGCTACTAATGTTGTACAAACTACACCATTAACATGTCAACTTGGACCATTCAATGTCTACTGTAAGTATATCTTATATATGGAATCTAAATAGAAATGATAATCAAGTAATGTATACATGTAATTCTACTAATATTGTACAAACTACACCATTAACATGTCAACTTGGACCATTCAATGTCTACTGTAAGTATATCTTATATATGAAATCTAAATATAAATGATAATTAGGTAATGTATACATGTAAAGCTACTAATGTTGTACAAACTACACCATTAACATGTCGACTTGGACAATTCAATGTCTACTGTAAGTATATCTTATATATGGAATCTAAATATAAATGATAATTAGGTAATGTATACATGTAAAGCTACTAATGTTGTACAAACTACACCATTAACATGTCAACTT